GCCCCTCGGCTTTCTGCATGTAGAACACCCTGCTCCGCCTCACCTTCCTGAGTTCTTCCTTCAGCTGGGCAACCTCCTCGTCCCGTTGTTCCAATCGAACTGCCAGGGCGTCCCTGTCCATGCGGTCGTAGGGGACGAGCGATGAGGGCTCCGCCGCAGGCGGGCGTGCAGGGATTGCGACAACGCCCTCGTCGTCGGCTGGCACGTCTTCAATGGCCCCGACCAGCCCCTGCGACGACGACGCGGCCCCAGTAGCAAGGGATGTTCTCACGTAGCGCCTCTTCTGCGTCGGCTGCCGCGAAGGCGGACCGACCATCTCATAGATCTCGTCCATGTCCTGCGCGGTGAGGCTGGACTTCGTGAAATGGTTCAGAACATCTGGGAACAAGTCCACCTCGAAAGCCCCGTCCTCCATCCTCAGGTTGTGCACGTCGGGCCGCGAGGCGGCGAGAGTCGCCGCGTGCTTCCGGACCGACTCTCTCATCCCTCTCCTGGACAAGGGGCCCGACGAGTCTGCGTGCCCGAGGATCTGCAGCACCAAGGCGGCTGCATCTCCGTACGCCACGACGCCCTTGTGGTACAGGCCGGACATCATCCTTCTGTCGATGAGGAAGTTGGCGATATCATTCTTGAGGCCATCAGACGCCATGAGGATAAAGACGTCCAGATCTCGGGGCGCGGTTTTACCAATCGTTTTCTCTGTAGCTCTACTACACGCGCACGTGCTCACTGCTAGCTTCATGCATGTATGCCATCACATGCTGGCTATGTGCCAAGTCTGCTCTCCTGCTTTCCTTCCCACTCACGACCTCTGCAGCGTTGCTTTCACGTGAATGCGCTCACTGCTGCGATGATGCAATGCTGCTCCGACGTGCTGCATATGCGGCGCGTCTGCACATATGACCTTTTACCCGTGCATTATGCACGCAACTGTTCTCTCGCCTGCTGTCATCATCTACGTGCGTCGGCCATGCGTGCTGGACCTGTGGCCCCGGGCCCTGCGGCTGTGAGAGGGATGATCGGGCAATACTACCAGTCTGATATACCCACCCCCTGTGGGATGGCGCCTGCATAGGGCGCATGGCCGCAGGACACCCAACAGAGACGCGTGCGCCTTGAGGGTCACGCACAGAGAGGAGTCTGCAGGTGTTGCCCTTGGCCTGGCCTGGGACGTCTCCCACAGCGGCAGCCATGCACGGGCGCGCTCCCGTGCGCCAGGTGCTCTCGAGGCGAAGCCCTTCTTATAATATTACTACTTCGTTACCACCAGGGTCTACAAACGCACGCATGCACAATGGTTCACCGACGCGCGCAGTCGGGTATATAGCGCACATCACGCAGTACATATAAGTAGTTACTGAGACACGCACACATAACATATAACACAAGCATGTGTCTCACAAACACAGCTGGTCATATGTATAGCGATACCCCACTTTACATCACAATGGCACATGCACTACACGCTCATATGACTCGTGGACACATACAACGCACAGTACCACGCGTGCCACACGATGCACATGGATGCGCGAGGCCCCCATCAAAGGCTTCGCCACCGAAGGGGTTCAGCGTAAAGTGCAGGCAGAGTCCCTCCTTCCTCCCTACTCTCCTCCCCTACCTTTTCCTACCCCTCCCAACACCCTCTCACCCGCTCCTCCCCTCTCCCTCATCTCCTACTCCCTCCCATTCCCCCACCTCTACATTCACCCTCCCACACCTCCCCCTCTCTTCATCACCGCCCCCTCCCTCTCCTACCACTTCCACCTTCCCCCTACGGTGAGAGGACCTTCCCCTATCGCTCTGGAATGCGAAACGGTGCTGGAGCTACGAGGACCTCCCCCCCTCACTCTGGAATGCGAAACCCCAATCCCCGCCCCCCGGCCAGAAGAGACTGGAAGATGGTCGAGGACGCCTCGACAGTGATCACGACGAAGAAGGCGCACGCGCTCGCCTGGCAGCGCCCACGCCCTCTTCTGCTGCTGACTGCACTGGGGCCCGCAAGGCCACGGCAGGTGCTGTCGCTGCTGCCGCCGTCTCCGTCATCGATGCAACAGTTTTCCCGCCCCCTCCCCTTGATGTCCCCCGCCGCCCAATTCCCCTGATTTCGGCAATCCCCTTCGTCGCCCTCATTGTCCTGCTGCCCTCCCACCGTCGGTGACAAGTCGGGCACCGCGGCAGTCGGGCACCATGGCGAGGTGGTGCTGGGTAATGTGTGCGAGCGGTGCTGGAGGATGTTACTTGGTGGGTGGGTGTGTGTGAAGTAGTGAAGGGTGGTGCGTGAGTGCGCGTTTGGTTTGCTTGCGGATCACTGCTTGAAGTGGAATAGTATGGGCGGTGCTCGACTGCCGTGGTGCCCGACTGCCGTGGTGCCCGACTGCCGCGGTGCCCGACTGCCGCGGTGCCCTTCGAGCGTTCTAACGCCGTGGTGCACCAGTGCACGACTGCCACCCCGAGCCTCCGCCTCCGCGGGCGGCCCTTCCTCCCAGCGTCCTCCTTGTTCGTCCGTTCGTTCGAACCCCCCTCCCCCCTTCCTCCTTGAAATAGCTATAATGCATCACTTGTTCCTCCTCCCTTCCTTCCCCCCCCTTCCTCCTTGAAATAGCTATACTACATCACAGCTCACACTTCGTGCTTTCGCGGGCGCTCTCGAGCGCACGGGCTGATGCACCTGTCTGCGGTGCCAGCAAGGGGGCGCGGCTCTACGCCCACGTGAATAAAAGGCTCATACCGCTGTAAGTGGGGCCGAAAACCGACACCCGTTAGATGATTAGCTCAATGGAGGGGACCCAATCACGGTGGCATGACAGTTCAACTCCTGAGCAACTTAAACTGGCATGAGATCTACACAGACAGACGGCACTCAGGAGTTTAACGAGCTACTTCCAGCAAGTGGCAGCCGCGCGGCGAGGACGAGGATGGCCCCAAGACCCCCAAGACCCAAGGGCGAGAGGGCCGCGGGTCCTGTCCCAAGGGAGGGGCGCGGCTTGAGGGCCGCTGCTTGAGGGCCACTGGTCGAGAGCCGCTGGTTGAGGGCCTCGGCTGCTAACGGAGAGACGCTGCTTGAGGGCCGCGGGTCCCGTCCCAAGAAGCCAGCCCTAGAGCTACGGGCAACTGCAGGCGGGGCGAGTTGACGGATGCCACCTGGAGGTTAGTGCTAGGACGATGGCCCAGGGCAGCAATGAGAAGCACACCGCGTTTCAAGTCCACCTCCCACCCCCATCGCCCCAACGTCGTCGCTACCTCCCCCAGAAGACGGTCGTCGCCATCAGCGCCGTCGCTCGGCGACACGGGCAGCGCGAGAATGCATAGGGAGGAGCGCTGGGGGAGGAGGAGGAGGAGGAGGAGGAGGAGGAGGAGGAGGAGGAGGAGGGTTAGGACGGCGGGAAGTGTTAGAATGCAAAGGCGGGTGACAATGAGACGAAGATGCAATCGAAGCGGGCGGCGGCGGCGCTCCTCCAGCCCGACGTGGTCAGGCAGGAACTTCTCGCCCAACGTTGCAGGCGGCCGAGCGCGCGCGCTGGCGCGGGCCCTTGGCACCCTATCCAACCTATCCAAAGCGGCTGCGCACTGAATGAGTCTACAAGGGCCCCTAAGTTCGCGCTTCGCGCTGCGCGAAGCGCGAAGCGCAAATAACTTCGCGCCGCCTCCCACCCCAGGGGAGAAGAGGAGGACGAGGAGGAGGACGAGGAACGAGGACCGCGAAGCGCGAAGCGCGACTAACTTCGCGCCCTCGTGGGAGCCCTTGGCCTAGTTGTGGCATTCGCCACGGGCACGTGAAGGAGAGCGGCGCAAGATGAGAAGCCACATCAATAGCGAATCAGACCTGACCCTTGACAAGCTCAACAAGCGATTGCATCACGACCGTGTCCTGCGAGGAATGCATAATTTCCCGCCCCATTTCAAGCGCGTGCCCTCGATGCGACTTCGCCAGTCCGATAGCCCCTGGGCCCTGCCGTACCAATATCACCAGCTTCCCCGAGCTACGACATCGCTCACTTCCATCCCTCATCTCCGCATCCCATCCCGCACACCCTCTGTTCCCTCCCAGTCGCCATTCGCCCATTTGCACCACTCCATCCCTGCCCTCCCAACCCCCCCGCCCCGCCCCTCCCGACTGTCCATGCACTTCCCCGCAACCCTCACAACCCCGTTGGCGCCCTCACGCACCCACCTCATCTCGGCGCGCAATCCTTTCAGCGGGTGCATGCGGCGTCCGAGGGCTGCCGGCTGCCCGATGTCCAAATGTTTCCCCGTGCTGCAGGCTACTCCGGAACTGCAGCTGCAACTGCATGTCAGCGCGTCAGTCAGAATACATATGTACATATATATATATCAGTCAACGCACAATCGAGGGGCAACGTCGCCGAGGCTGTAGCTGGCTGGGGCCTGATCGACCGCCCCTTGAAAACTGAGGTCCGACAAAATGACAAGGCTCTGATCTAATGCGAGGCGCGCCCGCCCCCACCACACCACCGCGCCCCTAACAGAAGGCTGAAATCCCAGGACAGCCTTCGGACCCTGGTGGCCGGCGGCGCTGCCCCCCAAAACGCAAAGGTCAGGCACTGCCCTGCGCTCGCCAGCAAGCTCTCTGCGACTCAGGGCATGTCTGCGTGCGTGCGTGCGCGTGTCTGTCCTCTGTCCGTGTGTGCGCGCGTGAGTCTGGGCGCGCGCGCGCGCGCGCGACGCCACCGCCCAGGGCGCCGAATCGCGCGCCCTGCACACGCCCGAGTGCGCAGCGCCCACCTCACCGACTGGGCGGAAACTGCGGAGAGGGAGGCGAGGCGAGAGCTGCTGGAAGGGCCAAGGCATGGGCGAGGCGAGAGCTGCTCGAAGGGCCAAGCATGCCTGCACTTCCCTGGTAGCAGCAAGCATGCAGCACGCTCCACTCTAACGACCCCTTCCCCCTCCCCCTTCTCCATTCTCCATTATCCCCCCTCCTGGCTGCCTGCCATCCTACCCGCGCCCTCACAGGGCGCGCAATACACACAAGACATGACCTACTGGCGCACGAACGCGCAGCCAACGAAAGGATGCTGGCAGCAAGCGGGGGCCCAAACGCCGTGGGCGCACTTGGACCCGTCGGTCACCACGGTCAGCCCGCCGCGCAAGGGGTAGCACTCGCCCTCGATGCACCACCAGGCCAGCTCGCTCAGCGGCGTCTTCGCGTGCTGGTTGAAGGCGTACTGGCTCGGGCCCTTGTCGTTCATGTCCTGCCCGCCCACCCCCGCCCCCCCCCTCCCTCCCCGCGCGCAATGTAGAATAGATAAAGAGAGATAGCGAGATATAGGGGGAGAGGGGGGGAGTGGGAGAGAGGGGGCGAGGGAGAGGGAAACAGAGGGGCAAAGAGAAATAGAGAGAGAGAGAGAGAGAGAGAGAGAGAAAGAGAGCGTGTGAAAGTGATACATATATACGTATATATACAGCCTGGCAGGCAGATAGGCAGACAGACAGACGGAGAGAATGCGAGAGGCACAGATGGAGAGCGAGAGAGATCCAGACGGAGAGAGGAGGCGCAAGAGAAAATGAGATAGCGATAGAGAGGGGGGCAGAGAAAGCGGGGGATGATGGGTGGCCCAGAGGAAGGGGACAGCGGCCAGGAAAATGCTGAGGAGAGCCCGCAATCCATTTCCGGTTCCCCTGCTGCCCGCTCCGCCTTCCCGCTGCTCTTCCCTGGCCCGCCCAGGTTGCGCCCCGCGCATCCTCCTCCTCCAAAGCGGCCAGTCCACGCCCCCCTCATCCTCCTCCTCCATGCTCGCCTGCGCGCGAGGAATGTCGATCAGGACGCCCGCGATGATGTTTGCCGAGAAGGCGGGGGCAGAGGAGGACGAGGAGGAGGAGCACGACGACGAGGACGAGGAGGAGAATGAGGAGGAGGGCGACGATGACGAGAAGGAGGAGCAATGGAGATTGAACCTCATCGACTGCGGGGACACCCGCTTCGTCGAACGCGGCGCCCCACCTGAGGCAGTCGATCTCCGTCTGCACCTCGTCCAACCTGCTCGCCAGATATCCGATGGAGTCACCGGCCACCTCCACTGGGGCCTGGCGCTCAAACGGGGAGATCTGACGAACGGGCTGGAAGAGGCAGAGAGGGGGGCGACAGCGAGGCCCCCAAGAAATGCGCATTGGGGGAAAGAAGGGAAGAGGGGACAGAAGATACCACGGGGAGAGGGCGGGGCAGGGGGTGAAGGAAGAGGGAAGGGCGGATCAAGAGACGGGTGGAAGTTGTTTCTGCTGCCCCTGTTCGAGCCCTCTCCTCTCGCCCCCTGCTTACACCTCCTCTTCGGCATATTGGATTCTCCCGCCGTCGTCAGTTCCATTGCAGTCATATAAGTTTCTCATCCCCCTATACCTCCTGGCCTTCTTCTCGCCCCCTCGCTTCGCCCCCCCATCGCCCGTCGGCCTCTGCTGCTGCCGTAGCCCGCGCAGCCTCCCCCCAGTCCCGGCGCATGCAGCACTTCGCGCAGCGCAGGCAGCCCGAGCGGCCAGTCTTGCACACCTCGGGTCACGGGCGACGGACGGCCAGTGCTGCGCCCACCAATCGTAGGGCGGTGGCCATACACTGTCTCTCGCTCTCTCTCCCCACAACTGCTTCTGGCTCTCATCCGCTGGCTCTCATGCGCGCAGATACGCATACGCATATATGCATATGTACATGCGCTAGATACATGCGTGCGCGCGCGTATGTCTGCAGAGCCGCGCGCGGCGCACACTCTATATACATATACATACATATATACAAATATACATATATATATATACACATGTCATCGTCACATATATATATATATATATATATGTCCTGCTTTGCCATGGCACTGTCCGTCACGCCCAAATCCAAACTCGCGTTCTGGCGATCGGGGCTCTGTCTGTGCGCGTGTGCGTGCCTCTCTCTCTCTCTCTCTCTCTCTCTCTCTCTCTCTCTCTCGCTCTCTCTCTCTCTCTCTCTCTCTCTCTCTCTCTCTCTCTCTCTCTCTTTCTCTCTCTGTCTGTCTCTCCCTATCCCTCCCTTCCTCGCCCCCTCCCCCCCGTCTACCCTCCTCCATGATGCCCCCTCCCTCTCCTCGCATATGTATAAGTATGTAAGCATGGGCGCGCTCCGCTTGGACCCAGACTCACCTGGCTCGGGGCCTCGCGGCGACGAGGGCCCAATGCAGCGCGCCGAGAACCGCGCAGGGCTCGGGGGGCCCGCGCCCCAGGGGCCCCAGAGGCAAGCCATAATCCCAAGCCAAATCCAGCACGCGCGCACGCGACCAAGAAGGCCGTTCTCAAGCTGACCCACGGCCCGCGACGCCCATCCACACCCCTTTTCTCGCACATATCTTTCTTCCCCATCCTGCCTCCAACCCGCGGCGCAAGAGAAGCAAAGGCGGTTGCGGCCTGGCACGTGTCGCGGCAGGACAGCGCGCCGAGCTGGCGCGCCACGGGCGGCGGTGGCGCGTGATCCGCGGCGAGCAGCGCCGCGACGTAGCCCACGGTGAAGAAGGCGTTCGTGCCGGACGCGCACTCCCCGAGCAAACGCCTGCCCCCGCTGCGCCCGCTCCAATGAACAATGATTTCCATGCACTCGATATCGAACCTAGCTCCCTAAGCACCCACCTACAAGAAGCAATGCCCCCACCCCCGCCCGCTCCCGACCCCAGCCCCCATAAGGCCCTACTCGGGTCGCACTCCGTCACCCCCTCGCCCCCCGCCCCCGCCCCGCCTGCCATGGAGCCCGTCCACGTGGCGCAGGGGGCCGAGATGCTGGAGACCGACGCGCTGTGGTGGCGCAGCGTGAGCGGGTGCCTGCACGGGCTGCCCTGGGAGCGCCTCCGCCGCGCGGGGCCCGCCCCATTCCCCCCCAGACCACAACTCGACCCCCCCCTCCCATCCTGATTATCCATGTTTCCTCATGAGCTTGTCTTGACGTCCCTATGTCATCCGTTTCTTGATTCCTACTCACTACTACGGGCCGCCCCCGATGCCCTCGGGGCTATTCGTCGTTGTCGTCCTATTCCTTCTCCTCCTCCTCCTCCTCCTTATCCTCCTTCTCCTCTTCGTTTGCGGCCCATGGCCCAACTCGAATCCCCATCCGCCCATCGCCCTCGCCGCTTTCCCCCCCGAGTCGGCCCAACCCCCTCGCGACCCCCCCCGCGCCCGCCCCCGCGGGGTGGCGCCGCCGAAGGGGGAACGCGCGATGGATGACGGAGGATAGCTCGGGGCATGGAGGGCTCCAGGAGGACGAGGACGAGGGGGGCAACGACGAGGGCTTCGGAGGGAGAAGAGAAGAGCGGCCGTAGAATGAGGGGAAAACCCCGCCGCCCTTTTCGCGCCCATGGGCCCCCCTTCCCACTCCTCGCCCTCCGCCCCATCATCTCCCGTCGTATCCTCAAGGACAGATGCCACCCCTCACCCCCCTCACATATCTATCTTGCCTTACCCCCCCCCCCCTCCCTCTCTCTGACCCCGCGCACCAGGGACACGCGCGCCCTCCCGCCCCCCGAAGGCCCGCGCCCGGACGACGGCAGGGTTCTGAACGAGGCCGTACTCGCCCTGGAAGATGCACCACTCCCTGAGGTACCAGGCCGCGTGGGGGGCGCGGTTGGTCACCTCGAGAAACTCGCTGGCCATTGCGGCGATGATCTCCCCCGGGGGCGGGGGCAACCCTCGCCTTGTTACTCCTCGCCCCACCCCCCTGCCCGCCGCTCGTCGCTGCACTTCCCTGTCGTCCTCGCCGCCGCCCCAACCCCGATCACCATGGCCATCGCGTCGCCAATCCAAGCCGCCATCATCACCCCTATCGTGACCATCGTCGTCACCACGATCTTCGTCGTCGCCGTTGTCGCCGCCATCATGCGCTATATCTCGTCACCGAACATTGCGCGAGACACGCATGCACAACATAATCAAATAATCTCAAGATGTAGGAAACAGACCCGTCTCCCCCGCCCCCCCGCCACCCCCGCCACCTCTTCCTGCTCCCCCCCCCCCCTTCCCTCCTCCTCTTCCTCTTCCTCCTCAGCCTTATCCTCGTCATCATCAGCATCGTCAGCATCGTCGTCATCGCCCTCCCCATCCTCGTCATCATGCGCTAAACTACTGCACAGCAACATGCAACGCATCGCAATGTCAAGGCGCATCATGTCCAGCTGCACAGCTCTCCTTATTTCTCTCTCTCTCTCTCTCTCTCTCTCTCTCTCTCTCTCTCGCCCTACTTCTACCTCTACATCTACATGTGCCTGTACCTCTATGTCTCTCTCTATATATGCATTGCTCTTTTTCGCTTTATCTTTCTCTCTCTCTCTCTCTCTCTCTCTCTCTCTCTCTCTCTCTCTCTCTCTCTCTCTCTCTCTCTCTCTCTCTCTCTCTCTCTCTCTCTCTCTCTCTCTCTCTCTCTCTCTCTCTCCGACCCCGTGTGGCTCTTCTCCCCCCCCCCCCTGCGCCAGACCTCCGAGCCCTTGTAGTACTTGCCGAACCTGTCCTTGCCAATGCCCCACATAGTACCTCCCCTCCCGGGCGGGCTGGGGGTGGAGAAGGGGGGCGAGGCAGCCGCGCGGGTAGACGGTGGAGAGGGGGGCCAGACAGTCACGCGGGTAGACGGTGCACGAACGTGCAAAGCGACAAGGGGTGGAAAGGGAGGGCGAGGCAGTCACGCGGGTAGACGGCGGAGAAGCATGAGCAAGGGAACGAACGCAGCCGCGGCAACACCAGAGGCAAGGCAAGGGCGCGCGAAGGCGGCAACGATGAAAGGAAGAGAGGACGCGAAGGAGCGCGGCTGAGCGCGGCGAGGGAAGGCCGAGGGGAAAAGGATGGAGGCCGACGGAGGTAAGGTAAGGGAGATATATTGCGGGGGCTCCCCATCATCACTACCTACTGGGACTGGGTCCCACTGCTACCGTTACCCCCCCCCCGCCGCCCTTCCAATTCCAACCCCCTTGTTGCCCTTTCTCCTCCGCCTCCGCTGATGCCAGGGGCCCCCTTCCCGAGGCGCCCTGATGAAGGTTGCGGCACTCCGTCACCGCCGATCTCTCGCACAGGTGGACCATCTGCTTCAAGAACTCCTGGCGCGGCGGGGGCGAGCGGGGGCTGGGAGGGGGAAGTCTCGGGAGGGGCAGGGTGGATGCAATGCTGGAGGAGAAATGTGAATGTGCGAAGGAGCTGGAGGGATCGCGAGGATCAGAGGGGGCCAGGACCAGAAAGGGGAG